AGGTGGGGCTAGCGCTAGACACATAGTAAGGCGCTGGATAGAGATCTGTGCGATGGCTTTTCTCTGGGACTTGTTCTGGGACATTCAGTCACACAACAGACATTTATCAAGCCCGTCAGGGGACTGAGCCCTTTGCTGTGATCACTGCTGGAGCCGTCGTGCACATTTGGTTCCCCTGTTCTGGCAGCCATTGCCAGCATCTCTCTGGCAAGCCTCTGGAAGGCAGTAACAGTGTTTGCTTTTGAAGGGCTCCTCCTCCAGCACAGGAACCTGCATAAAGCACAGGGCATGTGATCCCTGCATGTGAAAGAGCTGGGCTTCCCCCCCCAAACCTGTCCCACCACACTGCTCCCAGCCCTGCAGGCGGCCCAACCCACCACCCAACTGACTCCTGAGAAACCTGGGCGTCACCTCTCCAAGTTTCCTCTCCCAAACTTGCTCTTTTCTGCACTTCAGGCCCATTTTGGGCAAGTTGGGGCCCCTGGACAGTCTATCCAAACTGTATACTTCCCTTCCCCTCCCTCACTTCCTAAACACAACCGGAGGCCCAGTGTTGTCTCTTAAACAGCTCTCCAACTCACGGGTCTCCACTGCCGGAATTCTGGGCCAGGTCCCAGCATCCATCTCCTGGGCCCTGTGGGAGCTTCCTAACAGGTCTCGCTGCTTCCACTTCCAACCCTCCTTTTCCTCATGGCAGAGTCCCAGTGCAGGTCTGATCAAATGACTCCCCCTTCCCCCAGCCCCCCAAGCTCAAACACCCTCTGCGGTGGCTTCCTCTGCTTCTGTAATGAGGACCTCACTTTTGAAGGGGCTCCAAAGACCTGCATGACCCACAGCTGCTGAACTCTTCTTCCTCAAACTGAGCCCCTACTTCCCCTTCAAACACTTCTTTTCACCATATTGGCTGCTTTCAGCACATGACTTTTTTGGGGGGGGGAGGGGGACACATCAGTCCATTGCACTGTTCACATTTCCCTGATTGTCACATCATATTTTAAATAATCAGGATCCCAGAAGGCCCGCACATTATAGTTGACTGATGATGTGCCTTCTAACCTATTAGTTCTCCCCTCCCTTTTCCCCTTGCTTATCTGTTGAGAAGCTGGGTTGTTTGTCCTGTAGACTTTCCCGCACTCTGAATGTGGCTGAAGGCATCCCTGTGGTGTTATTGAACATGTTCTGTTCCCTGCTGTTCCTTGTAGTCTTGGAGGCCACGCTTTTAACCTCTGCCCCCTATTGCCTAATGGGAGGGAGAAGATGACAAGACAACACCTGGGAAGCTCTGTGGCCGACTGTGCTCCCTTCCCTCCTCCTTGCTGCTCGTTTCCTCTCCCAAACTTGCTCTTTTCTGCACTTCAGGCCCATTTTGGGCAAGTTGGGGTCCCTGGACAGGAAACAGACAAACAGACATGCTTTTTCCCATTTGTATTTCAGTCTATCCAGAAATAAGTGGGGGGTTTTTGTTTGTTTGCTTTTTTTAAAAAAAAAACAAACTTTCTTGTCCTTCAGAAGTCTTGCTCATCTGCCAAGATAACGGGGGTCAGGTGTGTGCTGTGGGTGTGCTGGGCTCTAAAATCAGCTGAGGTCTATGGTGGCAGAGCATGTGGTTGCATGGGGCTCCCTCTGGGTACCGGGAGCTTGCTGGGCAGGAAAACGCACTCTGTGCTCCTGGGTGCAGAGGTTTGTGTGGGCTGAGGTCGGGGTCAGTGGGGAAGTTTCTCATGCAGTTTGCCTGAAGTAAGTTCTGAAGTGAAAGTGGCTTGTAGGTAGTTACCTGTTGTAATGATTTCTATCCCACAGACTTAGTGACTGTTCCTAGGGCTGGCCCTGGGGCTGGTTGTGTTGGGGAAAGGGTCAATACCTTCTAGTCCAGTGGCTCTCCACTCCTGCTGCACATGGCTCGCCTGATGCCTGGAGCCCCCCTCACGCCAGTAGAATTTGAATCTCTGGGTGTCCAGCTGGGTTTGGAATACCAGGTGACTCAGTGTGCAGCTTGGTCCAGGATTAGTGAGCTGGCCCAGTCTTTCTGCCTTTGAGCCACAGGTTCAGCGAGCATTTTATTCCTAAGCACAGTGCTTTAGAGGGCTGGGTACAGGAGGCCGAAGGTTCCTTCTCAGCCCATTGCCTCAGCTGCTGCTCCCAAGGCCCGCTCTCCCCCATGGCTGCGGGGGTGGAAGGCCTTGTACTGCAGGCCCCAGGCCCTGCTGAGAATTAGCTGACTCACCTTTCTTGTGCAAGGAACTGGAAGGAATCACTTAGCTGACTCATTCTTCAGGTAAAGAAAAAGGGAAGGAAAAACATCCATCGACTGATTAAGAAAAGAGGGGGGCTGAATTCTGGAGGAGGGGGGAAGGCATACATTTTAAACTATTGAGAAAATAAAAATGAATTAGACTGAGGAAGTAGAAACCTTTTCTGCCATTCATCAGGCTGGGAGGACAGGCATCAAAACAGCTACAAAGAAACAGGGTTCCTCACAAGGACCCGCTGCATCTAAACAGTGTCCCACCAACCCCGTCTTCCACACTCACTGAGAAATCACCTCTCCGAGATCTCTGGGGTTTCTTATACGGGCACTAATCCCACTCCTGAGGGCTGTGCCCTCAGATCTAACCGCCTCCCCGAGGCCCCACCTCTCATACCGTCACCTTGAGCATTAGGATTTAATCTATGACTATCGGGGAGAGGGTCAAATATTCCGTCTGTAGTAAGAACCACAGTATAGTTACTACATTAAGTAATTTAATGTGGATAAAATACTTTCATTAATCTATGACCTACATTTTTGTCAGTTGTCTCAGTAGAGTCCTTGAAAATATCATTCCCACCCCATTCCTGTCCAAGATTCAATCAAGAATCACATGATACATTTAGTTGTCGCTTTAGTTTCCTGTGATGTGGGCTGTCCCACAGATTTGTCTTTATGGCATTGTCGTATTTGATGAATAAGGCCAGTTATTTTGTGGAATGTTCCTCAGTTTGGGTTTGCTTGATGTTCCTTCATGATTAGATTCAGTCCTTCCAGAATCCTATGTGAGCGATATTGTGGACTTCTCCAGGTATCACATCCGGAGGCACACAGTGTCCCTCTCCCCTTCTTTGGTCCTTTTAACATGCCCCATCATTTGGTGATGGTAGGGGGTGGTGGTGGCGCTTCATTGCTTTCTGTCGCAACAAAATGTACCAGTCTCATCTCACCAGTACCTTCCCTGCCCCAGCCCTGGAACTGGCCACTTCCCTGGGGAACCCTGATGCGTTTTAGTGATAAACAGGATCTGTAGGTCATTCTGCCTCTTTACTATCCACTTACCATCCATCAGGCTCTACTCATTTCCCTGTCTATTAATTGGAATCATCCTCTTCGTACGCATTTCACACCATCATAAGCATTTTTCTACGTCATAAGCAATCTCTTTTAAATGGCGGCATAGTGTTCAGTCGCCGTCCACCATTACGAATAATGCCGCAGTGACGTCCTCAGCATACAGTGCACCTCTGACCAAACCTCCGGATGTCTGACTGTTTCCTTGGATGACATTATGAGGCCATTTTGCCCGGACAACAGCGTGAGCAGCATGGTTAGGCCATTTGGGTTGTGAGTTAGAGAAGCCATGTTTCCGTTAGGAATGGCCCCGAAGCTTGGTCTCTGGGAAAGGCAGGAGGTGGAGAGGCTGCTCCAGGGCGGCATGCCACGGTGAGCAGAGCTGGAGGCAGCGTGGGGCCTGGTGTGTGCAGGGGACTGTGAGGGGCCCCGGGGCCTCCTACAGGGTCTTGACAGGGAAGGGAAAGGAGCAGACGGTGGCTGCAGGGTCGGTTTCCTAGTGAGCAAGGGGTGGAGTGTGGAGGCGTCTGTTCCCTCACTGCGCAGAGCAGAGGACGGTGCTTGGAGAGCTGTGGGGCTCCGGGGAGCATCTGGGACAGGGCCTGGGAGTGTAGCGAGGCATGAAGCCCCAGCATTTGCAGCTTCTCCCTTTGTCCCCTAGCTTGGCACCCTGTCTCCTCCCTTGCTTGGCTTTGCCAAGCTGGCTCTGTCCCTAGGGCAGAGGGCCCAGCACCAGGGCTGCCCGGTTTCTTTTCATTGGGCTCTAATGCCTGTGGCCTGCTTTGTACAAAGCCCTTCTTTTCCACGCACCCTGCCCTGGGGCAAGGCCGGAGGGAGTCGGCCCCTGGTCCTGGGCCTCGCAGCAGCTCCAGAGCACGCAGGGGGCTGAGGTGCTGGAGCTCTGCCTCCGGGGAACTTGACCTGGGAGAGGGGCCTTCCCTCACTGGAGAGGTCCTGGCAAGGCTGGGAGGCTGCGGTGGTCAGGGAAGGCTGGGAGAGGGCGGGGACCAGGTCTGACCTCCAGCCCCTGTGCTCAGTGGTGTGGGGTGGGAGCTGCCGGAAGGCTTGGAGTGGATCTCAGGGCTCCGAGGGAAAAGGGAGAAAAATGGGAGGCACCTTGAAGAGAAGTTGGGACAGTCACTGAGCCTTAATGGTCTTTCTGAATTGATGTTAGAAAGTCCTCCGACTGGGAAAACTGCTCTCAGGTCACTGAGCAGTGAGGCCTCATTGGTATTCATCTCCCATGTGGGGAGTCCTGGGGAGTGTGGGGCCCAACAGTGGGGGTGAGGTGGGGGGTGGGGTCCCCCAGTGGCTGGAGGATGGTCTACAGCAGCTGATCTCCTCTCTTCTCCCACCCCCTTCTCCAGACGTCCTTCTATGGCCGCTTCAGGCACTTCTTGGATATTATCGACCCTCGCACACTCTTTGTCACTGAGGTAAGTCATGGCTGTCACTTTGTGGAGCCCCTTGGCCTTTGCACCTTGTCACTTTAGAACAGCCGTGGGCCATCTGTGTGTGTCCCTCATACACACTGTCTCATTTCATCTGGATCTCACCATGCCCCTTCCAGGGTAGATAGATCATCACCATCATTTCAAACTTCAATAAACTTATTTCCAACTACATGAGTTACATGCTCATTATAAAAGTCCAAACAGTACAAATGTTTAAGTAGAACCAAAAAGTATCCTTTATACACCCTTCATACCCAGTTCCCTCCTCCCCTAGGTGATAAGGTAGAATTTACCTTTTCCATGTGAACCATGCTATGAATTTTGACAAACATTCAGTCATGAATCCAGCCCCACAGTAACGATGTAGAGCATTTCGATGACCCAAAAATGCCCCCTCATGCCCATTGGTGGTCCATCTCCCCTACCCAGCCCCTGGCAACCACTTCCCTGTTTTCTGTCCCTACTGTCTGGCTGTTTCCAGAATGTCATATAAATGGAATACAGCAGTGTGTGCCTGGCTCCTTGTCCTTCACGTCATGCTTGTGAGTTTCACCTGTGACGTTGCGGGTATCAGCACTGCCTCCCTCCTCATTGCTGATTAGCATCCACTGAGAGCATGTTCCAGCCTTTGTTTGTCCATCCGCTTGTTGACGAACACCGGGGCTATTAGAAATAAAACCACTGTGAGCCTTTGTGTGGGTGTATGCTTTCACTTCTGTGAGTGAATAACTAGGAATGGGATCGCTGGCTCGTACGGTCAGTATATGTTTTACTTCGTAGGAGTCGGCCAGACTGTTCAGAGTGGCTGCAGGTTTCACAGTCCCATCCACCATGTTCCAGTTGCTTGCCATCCTCACCAACACCTGCTCTTGTCAAATCTGAACAGATTCCGTTTACTTCAGCTGTCCCAAGAAGCGGTCTTTGTGGCCTCTGTGTATGTATTTACACATGTGTGTAGGGACGCATGCAACACAAAATAGCGAAGATTTATTAGGCACTTACTGTGAGCAAGGCAGTGTTGTAAGCATCTTACATGCATCCGATCATCAGATTAACGCACAGCAACCCATGAGGCAGATCCATTTCAGTTCCATTTTGCAGATGAGGACATAGACAGAAGGTAAGTCTCATGGTATGAACCAGGTAAGCTTGTCTCGGAGTCCTTACTCTTAGCCAGTTTGCATTCCTGTTCAGGCAACAGTTTGGGGAGCTTTTCCCCAAGATGACTGGGCGGGCGGGCCGCAGGCCTGAGCTGCTGCGCTGGCCACACCCCTGAGCAAGTCGCGGAGCCCCTTTGTGGGCTTCCTGCGGGGACAGCACTTCCTTGCACATCTCCGTGAGCACTGCCTGGCTTCAGCCCCGGAGCTGATCAGCTCAGGGAGGGAAGGGCCACGACGGAAAGGGGCACAAGGCCTGCCAGCCCCTGGGCCTGGAACACCCCGTACTTTGCGTGGGAGCAGCCAGGGCTGTGAGACAGGGCGTTAACCTGGTGTGGTTTCCACTGCACGTCAGCAGGACACAGGGCTCAGGTATTTTACTGCTGGCCCTACCTGCCTCTGGGCCTACTGCCTCCTAAGGACAAGGCTGCCGTGCTCTCGGCTCCGTCTGCACTCTCCGAAGGAGTTGTCTATGCGAGCAACAAGAATTGGGAAGAGCACCAAACTAGAGAAACTCCTTACCTAGCCTAGGTTATGCATCTTTCTAGAAAGTTCCAGAATGGTGCAAAACTGGATACAGTTGCCACATAAATTCCAACATAAATGCTACCCGTTGATGGAGGAGTCAGCAGAGGCCAGTGTTTAGCTCAAAAGATGGAGGTGCTAAGGGTGGTCTGAGGGGTGTTGAGAGGCGGCGGAGGGGCACTGAGAAGGTTGGGAGGCGTTTCAGTGCTTCCCAGTCACCGTGAGCCGAGCCGGCCGGGGCTCTGGGGATGGGTGGGCAGCTACAGAGTGACCTGCTGCCTGTGCCGGGGGGTCACCCACCGCCAGTCCCCCTCTCCTCGCTCCCAGACCACTTCACTCTACTACTCTGTGCCTGCACCACACCTTTCATCTTCAGCTCTCATATTTTGAAAGGCTGCAGCATTCTTGTACATCACTAAACCATTTGGGTCTAAATCCCATTACTAAATATACAAATCTCATGCTTTATTAGTAATCAAGCTCACTGTCAAAGCAATTACTAGCTAGAAAATAAAACCACTGTACTGTAGTTTTAGGATATTTTCCCGATTTCACATGTTCCCTCCCCTCATCAAAGATTATGATCGACTTCCCAGAATGATCTTCACTTTTCCCCTAGCACTGCCTCCACGTCCCCCCTTTTGGAAAGTTTCTGCCCACAGGAGATCTAGGCCCTAAAAACCCTGGAAGGGCCGTGCGTGGGGTCTTCAGGTCTCGCTGGTTCTAGTCGAGGCAGGTGGCTTTGCAAGGCCACAGTGAGAAATCGGAAGCCCTGAGAGGCAAAGGGGCTCTTCCCTGACCCCTCCCCCACAAACTGTGGCGCTGCCAGGAGGGCCACCCACCCCCCCACCTTCTCCCCCAGGGCCCTTGGCTGGTGTCCTGGGAAGCAGAGCGTGGGGCGCGGCTGCCCAGCCAGAGGACGGGCCAGTTTGCCTGGGAGGGTGGGAGGGTCGTGGAGGACAGGAGGAGGTGGCCCTGGAAACCAGTTTCCCGAGGTGGACAGGTCCTGGGCAGCGTGAGCCATCTGGTGACCCGGTTCTGGGGGGCAGTCGCTGACTGAACAGATAGGCTCGTCTTGCGAGAGTTTGCAGCTAGTTGTTTGCAATTTTTGAACTGACCAAGCTTTCCAAAGATTCCAACCCTCTTGTGTGTAATGAGGCGGAGGAAGTTGTATTCACAGTAATTTCTCTTAGGAAGAAGGCCGTCTTTGTTTTATCCCTGTGTTGAGCCAGGCTTCAGAGGAGGAGGCTGGTCTGCGTGACAGAGGGGGAGGGACTGTGCTTTGATCCTGGAGGAGAGGAGGGAGGAGGCAGGAAAGAGAGAGCGGGAAGGAGAGCAAGTAACCTGGTGAGCCAGTGCCTGGGGGCTCTTTTTAAACGTTTTTTTTTTTTTTTATAGTTTATTGATTTGTAGAGAGAGAGAGGAAGGGAGAAGTGAAAAACATCTATGTGAGAGTGTAACATCGATGGCTGCCTCCTGCACGCCCCCTACCGGGGGAGCCACGATCCAGGCAAGTGCCCTGACCCAGAATCGAACCAGTGACCTCTAGGATGCCCAACCAACTGAGCCACCCTGGCCAGGGCCCTGGGGGCTCTTGTGAGGTGGGTCGTGCCTACTGTGCTTTGAGAGTCGTTGACCTGACCCAGTATTGTCCCTTCCACCATCATTCCTGGAAAGCTGTCAGCGAAATCCGCCTGGCTCATGAAATGGCTGCAAGAGTGGATCATTTGAGGGGATATTGAGGGGGGTGGGTCTCCGTCAGGGTGCAGTGGGGGGGTGGGGGTGGGGTCAGGCCTGAGGAAGGAAACGGCCAGGAGCTGGCAGAGCCCCAGCTTTGGCCCTCCACAGAAGTCATGGGGTTCCACCTAGGCCTCTGAGGGCAGCGGTGCCCCAGCTGACATCTAAGCTACTTTTAATTATGGGCTGAATGAAGGTAAAAGGGATTTGCTATTCTGAATTCAATAACTATTTAAGGGAATGAATGGCTGATAGATGATCATCCTGAAGAGCATAGAAAACTAACTGAAATAGTGTTAATCTCACCATTTCAATACTAGCACTGGAGTGGTTAGTGATCTGGAACTTGGGGCTGTAGTGTAGGCTAGAACAAGTCAGTAATTACACGGATGTTGGGAACCATCATCACCCCGGAGTAGGGAGATACAAATATGAAGTGGGGAAAAGACAAAGAATTATGTGATGTTGAATTTGAATTGGAGGTACCAGTGTGAACTCATGATCCACACACACACACACACACACACACACATTTCCCAGTTTCTTGGCTCTGTTCACTGAAAGGGCCTAGAAGCAATGATACCTGGTAACAATGTACCACTCACCGTCCATAAAAGGAACCAGGGCTTCCTGTAGACATGGTCAGACCCACACGTGGGGCAAGGAGAATTGTTACATAAAGTAAGAAAGTGCACAGAGAGTGACCGAGACCCCGTAAATGGCTTGAAGGGCCACCCACTGGCCACATTTGGGACAATTCCAACCCTTAAGAAGAATAAGAGCGGTGGATTATGATACACTGAGTAATAATAATAAATCCGTGAGTCCATAGTAATACTAAAAGTGTGGGAGAGGGAAGCTCTTTGCAGAAGAGTGTCAGCTAACAAGCATAGAAGGAATAACCATTGTGTAATCACTAAAGGGTGCCATTTCTGTAGAGCCAAAGATGGGGGGGGGGGCAGGATATTTGTGTGCAGGATTACTTAGCAATTACAAGGGGAAAGGTGCCTTTACGGTGCTTGGAGGACACCCCTTTAACCAGGTGACCACACTTAGCATCACTGACAATGAAAAAACTGACATGATGTGATTCTGGTATTAACCCCTGTATATAGGGAAATATACAAAAGTCTAAAGAAGAAAATAAAAACTGCTTATTACCCCACCTGCCAGAAATAATAATCTAGCATTTTGATGTATGTTTATGTTCAAAATTAGGATGTTTACAAAATATGTATAAATGTAGCTCTATATAGACACATAAAGAATCACGTGTGATATATTTGTATACATAACATAAATGTATACATAATATATATCCTTTTTCCATGTAACATATCATGAGCATTTTTCCTTGTCATTAAATGTTGTTTTCAAAACGTGTTTAACAATTGCATGTGATTTACCATGTAGTTATTCCATGTTTAGTTGTTTTCTCTATTGTTGACCATTTGAGTAGTTTCAAGTTTTTTTGCCATTTTATTGTAATAAACATCCTTGATCATAAATCTCATTTTCCTCTTTATTTCCTTTGGATAAATTCCTAGAACTGGAATTTCCGCA